ATGAGAGACAATCTCGTCTTCGCTGGAATCGCTGAACAACAGGATGAGGACCCTGAGACGACAGTACGTGAGTTCCTCCAGAAGAAGCTAAAAATCCCGGCGGACCAGGTAAAAAACATCACCTTCCATCGCGTTCACCGGCTCGGAGGTAAGAAGCCTGATAAATCCCGTCCTAGACCAATTGTAGCTAAGTTTGAGCATTACAAGCAGAAAGAGCAGGTCAGGTGTCAGGGCAGAGAGCTGAGAGGAACAGATTTCAGCGTTAATGACCAGTATCCAAAGGAAATATTAGATCGCAGGCGAGTGTTATTCCCAATCAGGAAGAAATATATCAGTGAAGGCGTCAGAGCTACAGTAGCAGTTGACAAACTTTATATTAACGGTCAGTTGTTCAGGGATCAGAAGATCACTCCTTGGCTTTATTAGATGCACAACAGGCAGGTTTAAAGCATGTGACACCTGATTAAAGTGTATAGAACATTTCACGGTGATAAATGAAATATATGCACAGCTCTAGAGCACGTTTACACGGAATGACTGCTAGTTACAGCTGGGTACAGAATGCATGGGCTGGGGTTCTTCTTCTTTCACCTTTTCTTACTCATTGCACTCTCTTAATTTTCTGTCTTCCTTTTCCTTATTCGTCTGCTTCTTCCCTGTGGTTCACACAATCACAAGCACACGGTTTGAGGCTACCTGGGTCTAGGTATAACAATTTATTCAGAGACATGAACTTTTCATCTTCTCACTCACACCTATGGTGAATGTAAGGTTTGTGACATGGAATGTGCACCAGAGAGAAACAGCTTAAGATTTTGAACCAGCTTAAAAGATTAAATGCAGATGTTGTCTTATTGCAGGAAACCCATAAATCAGTGACAGCTGTAAGTGATCTTAACTCCCCTGAGTTCCCTGATGTGTTTGCAGCCTGCTATAACTCTAGACAGAGAGGAGTAGCAATTTTAATCCACAAAAACCTCAGTTTTACTTTATTAGACAAAATTATAGATCCTGAAGGCAGATTCATCATAATTAAAATATTTATTCATAACCAAAAGTGGTGTATTGTTAGCATATATGGTCCAAATGTTGATGATCCCTCATTCTGCCACAAACTTTTTCATGCACTTTCAAAGCACGGGGACTGTTCTCTAATTATTGGGGGCAACCTCAACTTTGGTCTAAATGGAGAAACAGAAAAGTTGAATACAACAGGGACTCAGCGCAGTTGGCAATCATTAAATGTAGTCAAACAATACATGAGTGATTTCGGTCTTTGCAATGCATGGTGATCTCTTTATCCTAACAGTAAGGAATACACTTTCTTTTCTAATGTCCATCATTCCTACTCTCGTTTGGACTATTTCCTAATCAGCAGCTCGCTGCTGTCTGATGTCTCAGATGCTGTAATCCATCCTATTGCTGTCAGTGATCATGCTCCTGTTACTTTAACCCAAATAAATAAAAAAAATTGCCCCACAAAATAAGAGCTGGAGATTAAATATATCACTGCTTAAAGATGAAGTGTTTCTCAAATTTTCAAGGAAGAGTGGGCATCATACTTGGTGTGCAATGATTTACCAGAAACATCAGCATCTATACTATGGGAAGCAGGGAAAGCAGTGATGCGAGGTAAAATTATTTCATTCTCATCTCATAAAAAAAGTTAGAACAAAAAAAGATCCAGGAATTAGAGGGAAAAATAAAGTTACTAGAAAGCTCGCTAGATGAGGAAAAATTAGGGGAAATCCGTAAAATAAAACAATTAAAAAATTTATTGAAAAACAAAATAAATGTTTAATTCAAAGACTGTTATGTTTCTGGCCTGTCAACTAGTATTTTCATTCCCCTCCCCCTTCTGCTCTGTGCTGCCTCTGCTCAGCCTAATTGTCACTGATTCCTCTCACCTGTTTGCCAGCCTTCTTAAGCAGGCCTCTCTCTAGTTGACAGTGCCAGATTGCCTGAAAGCCTTGGCTAGTAAGCATCCAGCATTTTTCTGTCTGTCTACCTGATCCTGACCTTTTTCTGCCTCCTGATTTTTTGAGCCTGCCTAGCCCTTGTTGGATCTGTTTTTTGTGCCGCCTGGATCCCTGACCTGTTTCTGTGCCCTGACCTTGTCCCTGGATTCTGTTTTGGATTCTCTGAAAATCTGATCACCTGGCTCTGACCCTGGACCTCCTTTGACCAAGATACTCTGCCAAGCCTCAGTGAGAATTCTGTGAAGCAACCAAAGTTTTCTGGAACCAAGACACCCCACCTGGATATTAAGAAAGGTTAGTGGCTTATCAGTCTGAACCTAAAATCATCAATTTCAGCCACTAACCTGTTCTCTCCCCTCCAGAGGCTTTGGCTCCCCTGATCCTGAAAAACCTGCATTATTCCCTCAATAAATCCTTTAAAGTTATTTCCTGTTGTGTTCTAGTTGTTTCTGGGTCCTCAGTCTGAATCTTAACAGTGCAATCTGGCCAACAATGGACCCAACACCAGCACAACAGTGGCGAGCCGGTGTTGATAACTCTATCGCTCGGCTTGATGCAGGTATGACTGAAATCATTTCTATGTTGCACAACTTGTCTGTTCCCAGCCATGCCCAGACTTCTCCACAGCCTGTTGGTCCTCCTGCAGTTCCAGAAGCCATCACAAGAGAGCCAAATCTGTGTCCTCCTGAGGTTTTCAAGGGTGATGCTGATCAGTGCAGAGCTTTTCTTACTCAATGTGAAATTCACTTTGAACTGCAACCCTCATCATTTCCCACAGATCGGTCTAAGGTGGCTTATGTTATTTCTCTCCTCTCAGGTAAAGCCAAGCAGTGGGGCAGAGCAGAGTGGCAGAATAAATCTCCTTGCACATTTTCCTATTATGTTTTTGCCAAGGAACTCATCAGAGTTTTTGATCCTGTTCTCCCAGCTAGAGAAGCGGCCAGAGGCTTACTCTCACTCAAACAGGAGTCCAGGTCAGTCACGGCATACATAATAGATTTTCATCTTCTGGCAGCTGATAGTTCTTGGAACAATGAAGCACTTATGGATGTATTTTTGCAAGGTTTAAATGAGGACATTAAGGATGAGCTAGCTACTCGTGATTTCCCAAGTTCTTTGAAAGAGTTGGAGGATTTGGCTGCTCGTATAGACTTGCAGCTTTCAGAAAGACGAAGAGATAGAAGCTATAAGGGGAAACAAGCTGTTTTTACCACACAAGCCAAAGCAGACACCCAGTTAACAGCTGTTTCATCTCCTCCTACCAGTGAACCCGAACCCATGCAGTTGGGTAGACTCAGGATATCTGCTGAACGCTTTCGTAGAAAGTAGCAGAATCTGTGTTTCTACTGTGGAGGAAGGGATCACAGAGCCATTGGGTGCCCGTTAAAAAAACAAGCTCAGTAGAGGGAGAGGAGTTTCTACTGAGTCAAAGCCGGTCCTCAAGCTCCTCAAACACTCTTATGTTCCCTGCTAACCTTTTGGTGTCCTCTGCCTCTCATCAGGTCTCTGTGTTCATTGACTCTGGAGCCGACAGAGTTTATGGATGAGTCTTTTGCCAAAAGACATAACATCAGACTCTTTCCTGCCCCTGCATCCCAGAACATTCTGGCCCTGGATGGGCACAATATGTGATGTTTTGCAATCTTTATAGTAACATTAGCTTTGTGTGGTCTTCAATATGACAAGATTTGAACCGTTTATTACTCCATAATTGAAGGATTGAGCGACTGTGGAGAGATCTGTGGACGGCTGTAACGTGCATCTACTATGATGTGCTGCACTACCTAGAAGAAGAGGGATACCTGGACATTTCAAATGAAGCACACCTCTTCTGTTGCCATTATGTCTTCCTGCCACGTCTGCAGGAAGATTTGGATACTTTCCGCAGTGGCTGGGACAATCGCCCACTTCGAACGGAAAGCAACATGACACCTAACCAGCTCTGGGTTCTTGGTCGTACACATAATCCAATTCCTGAACCCCATGGTGCCTTGACAGAGGTACGTTTTAATTGGACAATTTAATGTGTAGCATGTCTACTACCATTCACCTAATTTGTAATATCTTAAATAAATTTTGAGTTGTCTTGATCCCTTCTTTGTGTTTTTCAGGGTGTACAGATTCCCGAAATCGAATGGGAGGACAGCGGGCTTCCTCTTCACGAGGAGTCAAATGTCACAGTACCAAACTCTAATTTGCAACTGACTGACGAACAAATGGCAGCCTTAAGAAATGCAGTAAACCCAAAAGCCACATCACTGTCTTTTGGATGTGACATTTATATTGCTGCAGTTCAGTTTTGTGAGCAGTTTTTTACTGTGTGAAAGCTATCTTACGGGAAAAACATCACGGTTATGATTAGTTACTTATATACAATCATATGTTAAATATGGTAAGCATAATTTTCACTGAATTTAACTTGTACATAATTGAAAAAAATGACATAAAAAATAAATGCAAAGCATGATTTATTTTTGAAGAATACTTAACAGGATCTAGTTTTGTCTTTTTGCCACTATCTTGGCTTCTGTTGATTTTGGTTGCTCTGTTATAAACAGCCCTTTGCCGTTATTCAGCTATTGTATTGTTCAATAAAAATCTGAAAATAAAATGTTCAGCAAATACATCTGAGCCTCCGTTATAATCGCCTTTTAGCCATTTCCTGAATCAGAAGCTACAATCGTAGGCCAACTTCAGCTTCGATCCAGAGACTTAGGATCGCCACCACAGCTACAGGATCAGACTGACGTCTCCTTCTGTGCAGTCCTGTTGAGGTTAGGATCCTGCTCAGTGTGCACGCTTTTAATCGCTTCCGTACCAGTTTAAAAATTCACCATTTATGAAATGTAAAGCAAAATTCTGATCATGTTACCACAGAGGTGAATTTTAGTGCTCTTATGGTAAACATGTTAAAGAACTAAAATGTTCTAAATTTGTCATTTTTTTCCTTACTCAATAGGACCCATTAGGTACATTGTTGTAGGACTTCACATTTCTTGCATTAAAAGAATCAGAAAAAGGTTTGTCTTATATAATTTATTTTCTCATACTTGAAGCATATATGAACATTCAAGTGCATTCAAGTACTAAGTACATTCAATAAATGACATTCAATTTTGCATAAAAAACTATTTCACTTTAATATTTAAAACTGCCTGTACAAACAGTACTGACTTAGACTTAAATGAAATATCTACTCTGAACATTTGAATTTGAACTTGAATTTGACATAACTACAGGAAGTGGAGTAACAACAATGTCACTGAGTAATACAAATGATTACATTTAAACATACAGTACAGACCAAAAGTTTGGACGCACCTTCTGAAGGTGCGTCCAAACTTTTGGTCTGTACTGTATGTATTGAACTTGTGATCTAACAAAAATCAGAAAACTGAATTGATTCAATATTTCAACAGAACTGTTCTGTTTAAATAAAGCTGCTTCACAAAGAACTACAACAGCTTAAGTGTAGATTTTTTTTTTTTAACAAGTCGGTCACTCAGAGCAAGCCAAATCCAGATTGTGTAGAGGAAATGCATGCTAAGAAGTCCTCACTGAATGACTTGTAATTCTTGTAATGACAGGGAAGTCTTAGTGTTTCATAGCATGTGGCAGCTGTTGGGTAGGTCCCATGAACAATCTCCACCGACAGACTTGATGGCAGATTTTCCCAACCGGTCCAGAATTTCATCAACTCTTTCAGTTCAGGTGGTGTGGCTTTGGAAGAGAGCAAAGCCACAATCACACTTTCAAATCAATTCACCATATATCTACAACATATGGATAACTTTGTATGTTCCAAAGACAAAAGTAACTGGAGCCACATGTTGGGATAGAGCTGGACTACACAGAGAGAACACACAAACATGCATGCAATTCAACTGTTTGAATTTTGAGCTAAGATTAAAACTGAATTGTGAGGTACCACTGCAAGCAACTAAGAAAAAAATTCTACATGGATGCTTCATTGAAAAGTCATCTGAAAATCTCCAATCAGACACTGGTAACATTACCATTTGCAATGAACTGTTTCAGATATCCTGAAATGCGGCATCTGGTTTCCTTTGAGCAGTCATCATCTTCATCACTTTCATCATCCATTTCTGGCCAAGTGATATGCTGAAGTACCACCTAAGCATAGTAGAAAAAAGTAATTGTTTTATGTTTAACAGAAGTTTGTGAAGAAAATGTGTTATATAAAAGGAATTACATTAAAATAACAGATGCAACACCATAATTCCAGTTATTTAAATATACCTCTGGACACAGGGACGCTTCCTCCCTTGGAAAAAGCAGGGGTACAGCATCAGGTCGCCGAGTTACCAGGGACCATATTGGGGTTTCTTTCAAACCTCGTCTAAGTTGCTTTATTTGTCTTGCAACGCGTCCAAGAACCTATTTTAGAAAATGGTAATAGTTTATTTCTAAACAACTAATTTCATTACAGTCATTATGCTGCTCTGGTAATTGAAACTAATAACAGGGATCAAAGCGGTATACAGTAAAACACAATGTATATAAAAATTGTAATTCATGTGACACTGAAGATATGACAATCTTTACAATTAACAACTAATGTAAAAAGATTAATCTTTAAAAGTGAATAACTTGAGTTTTGCAAGACATCTGAGAAAGTATGAGACTGTTTCTCAGGATAGGAGCTTAAACTTAAAAAGTTGTCATTTGTCTGTTAGGCAATCTAAAGAAATTGATATAAAACAATTTGTTTGAAAGATTCTACCTCTTACCTTTGATTATGTTTATAGAAAACACTTTAGATAAATTGGTGCCAGACTATTTATAAATGTGAAAACAATGGTAAACCTGAACAATTCTTTATGCTTCTGTGTATCAAAATTGGATTTTAAATAAAATGTCATTTAAAACATAAGTTAAAGAAAAAAAATACATGCAGTAGAAATGAATGCTGACTCACTGCATGGAGTAACAGCTTCTCAAAAAGCCACTTCCTATTGTTCTCTGATGGGCAAGGAAGGTCCCATGAATATGCCAAGCTCTGTACTCTTTCCATTTGAGTATCAGAGAGCCTGGATTCTCCCTCGAGCTGCAAAAGACATCGCAAAGAACTCAGAGGGGAAAAAAGCAGAAAGAACTGGAATAGTGTAATACACATAAAATTCTATTTTTGTGAATTGGGGGGCATACAGTACTGATGGTTTCCCTGATGTCTAGGTCTGGGCAGTCCTCCAGGGTGACAGTTGCTGTTTCTGGACTGCCGCCAAGTAAAACATGAATAACAGCAGGACTAAGTCCTGACAGGCGTGGTCCTCCATGAAGGAAAGAGTGGCCTATCATTCTGCCAGCCACTAAAAACATGTCACTTTCAACAAGAAAGTGAGAGGCTGATGGGACCCAGCGGCCAGGTTCTCCTTCGAAAAGTCGTGTAACAATGGAGTTTCCTGTTCAATAAATCAACAATATAAGAAAATAAGTAATACAGATGCATAAAGACCAATGTTTAACCCTATACTGCCTCACCTATATTTTGGCTACACAGTAATGATTTCATTAAAGCTACAGTGTGTAACTTTTAGTGACATCTAGCGGTCAGACTGCAGACTGCAGCAGCATGAACATCTCCCCCCCAACAGTACGGCGAGCGTTACGGGACAAAATGTCTTCCACGACGTCCGCATCACCTACCTTCTCAAGTGATGAGGTTTGTTTACATAGATAATTTTGCAGATAGTATTTCATTAGTCTGTGTAGGGTATAGATTTCATTTAGACTTAAGATAATAAATATACCCGTTATTTTTTCTACATCGTTGTGACGTTTTGGCGATCTCGCAATCACTAGTTTGTTGGCTCTGCGCTGCCGTAGCGCAAAGATGTCTGCCTCCATGGCTGCGAGACCCGCTCCTATGTAATTATAAATAACGAATTCTAAGGCAACGCAAATATTAAGGTTAAGAGGCTGAGCTCGTAGATGATGATAAATAACATAGTTATGTTAAATATATTACATTTCGGACTGTATATCCCTGTAGTTATTACACACTGTAGCTTTAATTTTTAGAAATATTGTACCTTCTTCATATCAAAATTTACAACAATACATGAAACTTGAAGTTTAAGTTATCATGATTAACTAACAATGAGCTTTTACACATGACAGATGTTTGTGTAATATAAAGTGAACACAAATGACATACCAAAGTTTATAGAAAAACCTGACTTCAATTTTTCCAGTACGGTTGAAAAGAAAAAGCGGTTTACACCTTGTCCCACAGCAACATCTCCTGCAAGGTAAATGATTTGACAGGTCAAACATACTTTGAAATGCAAACGTGTAAAATTTGTAATTTTTTTTATTACTTTACCTTCAAGCCTACAATTAAGGGGGCATGCCCATTGCACATTTGGTCGCTTATAGAAAGAAATCAGAGCCATGTCTTTTGCTGCAGGGCTGTCTCTTAAGTCCATCTTCAACAGCAAGGGGTTCTCCATTTCATGCATTTGGAGGAAATGGTCTGCACAGCGAGAAATGGCCTTTGAAGCATCGCTTATGGTATACCAGTCTAAGAGGGGGAAAAAAAATAAATTAATATAGTTATAGGAAAAAGTTTAAATTTGACATGGGCATCAAAAACCAAAGTAAGGTCACAGTAAAAAAATAAAATCATAAAATGTAACTTATTTTTTCAGAAGTGATCAATACCAAGTAAGCATTAGAACACATGCCAAATTGGAAGACAATTTCTGTTTAGCTGAAATCAATGCTTGTGACGACCATTATTCGTGTCTTAAACAGATCTACATAAGCGCTAGCTTTCAACCACACTGACCATCACTGCCTGAAGAATATGATGTAGATGGCCCAGGCATTGTTTCATTCACTTCTTCTGTGGAATGAGGTCCTGTACTACTGAGATAATATTCATTACACTTGCTTTAGACAAAGAAAACCGTGTTGATAAAATTATTATATAAGGTAAATACCTACATTTCTCCACAAGAAGAAGCATGTACTTCTATGTCCTCAGTAGGAAACGTTTTTGCACACACCGGACACTCTTGCATTGCTGCTGTCACAAAGTAATTGGGACATTGTTGTAGCGAAGCAGACATCTAAAATGCCACTGTATGATATGCAAACATTTAAACATTTCTTACATATGTCCTTTGCAGTGTTACAAACATCAACACCAGCCACATCAGAGGGCAAGTCTGTTTCCACACAAGACTTTATGTGGTCAGTCAAAAAATGCAAGGGAACATCTACTCTGCATTTCTGACACATGGCCTTTGGCATGTTTGCAAATGCCTCGTCATTCAGCTCAAGAGGATCTGTGCAAAGTTGTTCCTGAATAGGGACTATGAACAGGGTTTTACCGCCGCGACTCGCACCCTTCAACATTGTCCCGGTATAGCCATCATCTTCAGGACCTATCAAGGTCAAATTTTGTCTTCCCCATCCACCTACAAGAAACTGTGCATTATGACTTTGCTTCAAATCAAAGCACAATATCAATTTACTTGACAACCGCATTCAGAACAACATTTGCTGATGAAAAAGGTATTCCTATAATTACAAACATTTAATTTTCAATGTTCCATGTTTTGTAGGGTAAATATATCATCTGCCCACTTGCTCTTTCATGGATGCCTTTCGTAATGAGCTGTTCTACTGCAGCAGAGAGTCTATAGATGGCATGTAAAAGAGTCGCCTTTTAGTCCTCCAACGTTGTGTACATACGCTAAATTTAAGGATATATGCAATAACATACAGGGGATCCGTAGATATGGGTTAAATACAGCCATTGATGGGACCAGGAGAGCATTTTGGATGGGGTGAAGGAGCCTCGGATTGTTGCTCTGAGACAAAAACTGGTGTAGCTCTATTTGAACAGCAGAATTTGTCTGCCAGTTGTATTTCTTTAGAAGGAAGAAATATTTTAAAATCTCACACTAACAAAAATAATGAAAAGAACATTTATAATAATATTACCGTAACCTGATATCAGCCACTTCATCACCCACCTGCAGATTTGTAAAGCAGCCAACCCCCTGCAATAGTTCCCAGCTTTGGAAAAAGAACTTTAAGCGTTTCACCTAGCTGTAAAAGAAATATGTCAAATTAAGACTCATTAAAAATGTAAATATACAGTGATAGTTCCTAATACAATATTAATACATGCAATGACAGCCCACTTCATCAGATCAACTTGAAGTGTTCAAAGATGCAAAATGACATAGCCAATTAGAGAGCAGAATTATTGGAGAATAAATATTATTGAGGTGAATTTAATGGTTCCTGCATTCAAAACATAAGCCTGAGTATTTTAGAAATTTCAGGTCTCCAGTGATTTTCACCAACATACATCTCCAAGATTTCAGGCTGGTTGAAGACAGACCTGATATTAAATAAGTGGAATTTCTGAGAGGAAATATCTTGTTGATGCCAGAGCCCCATGCAGAATTGATTGACAAGCATCAGACAATAGAAAGGCAACATGAACTCCAAGAAGAAGTGGTCCCAACCAATGTTCTGCTAAGATGAAGAGCAGATCTATTTTTAGGGCTGACACAGTCGATTTATCAGTCTAGTCCACTGTTTAAATAATTGTTGCATTATGAGGAATTACCTCATTGTGCGTTATGCTCTCATCGATGTGAGCCGTTTTCCGGCCCAATCCTGCTTTCATATGTATCAGTTGATCATCTTCTTTTGGTGTTTTCATAATGTTTTGGCAGTAAATAAAAAACCCCATCTAAAGGTTTCATCTTTTTCGCTGGGACCAGGCTTGTTGGAGGAAATCGATGTTTTCCTCTTCCCCTGTTGTAAAGTCCAGGAAAAGATCTGTTGTACAGAAATTTGAAGATAACCAAATTATACTGATTATTTCATTTCAAAGATCACTTTGATGACATAACCGATGACAAATTAGACAGTAGATTCAAAGAACCACAGAGTGATTTAGACATATATTGCATAATACAAAATAATAAAATACAAGGATTATTCATATGACTCAGTTCAAAATTATAATAGTCAATTTTGCTAGAAAGACCCAAGTCCCAAAAATGTAATATCTTTTATGAGAGATTTACATTGTGATGATTAGCTGCCGCAGCAAAAGGTAATACTATTTTATGCCATATTAAGACATACAAGTGGAATTTTGGAAAACAATTAAAGGTCTTTATAAAAATGCTTCAAAATTGAATTGACAATAAATAAAGTTGTCATTTACCTGCTCATTTCCATTTGGACAGATGGTTCAGTTTGAGGTACCCTATGACTGTTGGACAACAGAATTTATTAGTATACTGCTATGATCAACATATTCAAAATATACATATTCATTCGGCATTAGGGCAACAGTTTATCATTGAACCTGGCATTCTGGTTGGTGAGGTCTCCTCTTCCTCCACTCCGTGGTCTTTCAGTTAATAAATTCAGTAAGTGCCTTGCAGATTCAACTATAGCATCCCGACTACTCTGTAGTCACAAAATATATGAAAGACAAAGTAGCAGTTGAAAAAGGATTAGTTAAAAAGAAATTTACACTTCATGAGAATGATCACTTTTACTTGGGAAAACTCTGTGATGTAGGGTTGCCACCTTTCAGAAATTAAAATACGGACGCATGCTACAGCCCATGTCACCCTTCTTTCATAATGGTGGGATGGCCGGTGTAGTGATAGAAAGTATTTGGTAAAAAGTCTACTCAAGTACTGAGTAACTGATCATAACACCTGGTATAATGTTCAAAATTTCTCAGACAGCAAGAAATAAAGTTATGTGCAAATATGTATGTGAATGCTGGTTCCAGATCAAATTTACCACGGGGGCCAGTAGTCAATGGCCCCCGTGGGAACCTGTAGTCCAGAACTACAGGTTGCAGATCCCTGATCTAGCAGATTGAAAGTGTCATTCTATTTCACTAGATAAGCTAAAACTACAGCAACATAAGTTTTAAAGAATAGAGACAGTATAATTTCTTCAGTTTCCCTGGGATGTGTGTCTTCCTTCTCACGTCTGTATATTTGCTAGGACATGGTAGAGTATCGGTTGAGGACATTTTAAAAAGACGCAGGTTGAGAGTGGCTCACCACGACTGCTAAGCCCCTTTTGCACAGCTGGTACGGGGTCGACCTGGGCCCAGGGATGCAAAAGGGGCTTTGTGTCCGTGTCTAGGCAACCGTGACATCATCATTAGTCCAGCGCGTTCTGGGGTCCTTACTAGCTCCCGCCACAATTTAGCTTACCTTAACATGTCTTGTGTTTTATTTTCGTAATTAGTGTTACACTAAATGCGTGTGATAGGCGTTACTGTCGGACATACAGAAATAACGAACAAATCGCGTCTCGTATACGGGGCGATTCCATATTTTACGAAAAGGGTGGCAATCCTACTGTGCTCTTCTCCCATTAAAATTGTAGAAACTATATCAAGCACAAATAAATCTACAATTTGGTAGGTAACTGGTATTTTGAATGATGTTGTAATGACAATAAATTTCTTAATTAATTCATAAATGAAGTCACCTAACAATCGGTCTCCGCCACGTGACGTCAATTGTTTACCTCGGGCGCGGTGCATCGTGGGAAAACCACCATATTAGGTGGAAAGTCGAGATAAGCCACACACGGCTGTTCTTTCAGCACAATTATTTACCAGAAATGATATAATCATGTTGTGTGAGAGGCTGCCAGTCCCGGTGTCATGCCAAAGTAGTTATCCCTGCGAATATTTGTATCCCCTCGTCGGGAGCGCGCACAGAGTAGGAAGATCAACCCGAGTTAACTCCGCTTCAATTCCAACGCGCAGAACTTGAAATTTGAAAGGTTTTACGTGTATGAAAGTTGAGCTTTACTGTTTTATTCTTTTCTTCATGTGTTATAGCAGAATATCGCCAGTGATATTGATCTAAAACTAATAATAAAACACAAACGTTTGCTTGAAAGCTGGTCGCTGACAGCAGTGTCTACTCCTCCCTCTGAAAGCAAACAGATCCTTGTTCTTTTCCATACATTCCTTAAAAAAACCTCTCATTGTTTCACAGTGTCCAAATGTTCTCATCCCATTGAAAACTGTTGTAAACCATATGCTTGTAATAAAAATGAAATAGAAAATGGAGTGTACGTGTAATCATTAAAGACTATATGCAGAAGGAAAATATTTTTTCCTGGTTGAAATTTAGTACTTAAATCTATATTTGTGTTTATAGTAACGTACAATTTATCTATGTTGTACTATCCTTAATAAACAGTTTGTCTTCTAACATCAGCCGTTTTATTTCATCCCATATTGTCAGAACTGGCAGTATGGGATGAAATAAAACCTGCTGTAATCTGTTCCCCCTGTCTATATCAGGCAAAAAAGGTCTCAGCTTTTTCATTTTTTTAGAGTGGCAGTCTGTGGGAGTGGAGCTCGAACCAAGAACCTCAGGATTCCAAGCTCTATGCCCTGACCACTCCCCACTGCTACTGCAGATCCGCATACTGTCCATTTTTTAATAAACCCATTTGAATTTATCCTACTGTCTGTCTTGCCAAAAAACTGAGTCCCTCTGTTCTGATTCATGACACTAATCCTGCTTTACATCTCTTATTTATCCCAGACTTTTCTACTGAGTTGGTTTACTAGTGGCATGTTTTAGGTTTTTCATACCCTGGCTGTAATCATTTCTAGGTTGTCAAATTAAAATCTGAATGCAAAAGTACAGCACATTTTTCACACTATTATTTGTAGAACATTTTGAAAAGCGTGTTAAGTTTTTTTCCATTTTTGATTTACTTTGCACATCTTATTTTTCTACAATCCTAGAAAAATAAGATTAAATACTTTTGCAAGGAACTAAAGTCAATGGAAAACTTTTCCTCTTTTAATTTTCTAGTTGCAAACTTTTTAGTACAATTAAAGCGTGACAGAAATCTGAACATCACAGTGTCAGCCTTCGATTGTATTCTCTCTGAGCTCTCACTGGTTCCTGCCAAATAGCTGAGCGAAAGCTGAGCGAACCTCTAAACTGGCTCCAGTCTGGCAGGGCATCACAGGAAAGTTTGATATCCAATTTCCGGTTTCCTTATTGCCTCCAAAGAATAAGAAGAGCTTAATATGGCTGGTGATCATTTAGCTGCTCTAGCAGCTTGATAAGCATATACTCTGGCCTGTGATTTCAGCATTGAGCCCAGCCAGAAAGGAAAGTATTTTGGGAAATGTTGCAATCATCTATTGCTGAGCAGAGCTCCTCTCATATTTCGTGCATTCGGATAATATTTCATTGGCCTGTTCCCCCAGCTCAGTGGTTTTAGCCCTGGTTTGCAGTCTTACACTGTGTGCACTGCATTTTTCTGCAGATGCCTCATGTTTGCAGCCAGTTTCAACATCAGACTGTCAAGCAGGGTGGTTTTCTGTAGGGCATTTTCCCTACTGCGTCTTGTTACTCCTAACACATTGGTTCATCAGTTATCATACACAGGGGTGCCTGATTTATTCAGATTTAGCTTTAGTGGTATTTGTTTTTTGTAAATTTGAGGATTCTCTTTTTTTGATAGATTATTGAGAATAATCTTGAGGATTAATATTAGAGAATATGGTGCAGCAGCAGCTCAGTCAACCAGCTAATATTGTTATTGTTTATTTTGTTTGCAAAGCTTTTTGTTTATAATGTGTGTTTTGTTTCTAGCCAACATTGATATCTCAGGTCTGTGGCTTTGAGGAACTGGCAAAAAAGCAAATCTGTCCTAACCTGAGCCTTCATATTGCCTACAGGAGGTTGTCCAACTTTCTTTTAGATATCTTTTTTATCCCATCACAATATACTTATAGTTTCATTATGTAAAGCACTTTGGATTGTCTTGTTGATGAAATGTGATGTACAACTAAAATTGCTTTGCCTCACAGATGATTAAAGTCCTCTTTGATGCCCAGAATGCCCTGCCTGCTTCCTGTGCCTCTTCTCTCCCCCTCGCACACAACTATTCAATAGTATTTACCGCCAAAGCTTTATCTTCCAACTCTACTTCTGTTGCCTCAGCATATGATGCCTCTGGAGTCCTTTGAAGCATGGGTAGATCCTGAGCCAGGAGAAAGAGAGGTTCACACTTGGGTCACAGTAAAAGAAAAGGAGAGGAAATGTTGTCTTTGTAACTACATAACTCAGCCAGGAAACACAGAAAGAAAATAAAAGGACTGATGGATTATTCACAGAAAGGTTATGAAGGCTGTTATTACTCTGTTTCCTTTCTTGGTATCTATGATGCATGGTGTTTTGAAAACATGCATTACACCGGTCTGAACCAGTGGTTTTAAATCATCTTATCACATATGCCAAATTCGTCAAATCAAAAGTTCTTGCAGGCGGAAGAAAATATATATTTCTTTGTAAAAACTTGCTCTATAAAGCAAGTCTAATAACTTATAAAACGTTGATTTTGGTGCATTAAAGTCTGCTTGTCAGAAAAAAAGATAAAGATGACAAATTGGACCATAAAAGTAAAGAGGAGACACCATTGGGATGATCAAAAGACAAATACTTTGTATTCTGCCAAACTGTTTCACTCGTAAAATTACAGGTGCTGGTCATAAAATTAGAATATCATGAAAAAATAGATTGATTTCAGTAATTCCATTTAAAAAGTGAAACTTGTATATTATATTCATACATTACATACAAACTCATATATTTCAGATGTTTATTTTGTTTAATTTTGATGATTACAAATGACAACAAATGAAAATCTCAAATTCATCATATCAGAAAATTAGAATATTACTGAAGACCAATAAAAACAAAGGATTTATAGAAATGTTGGCCAACTGAAAAGTATGAACATGAAAAGTATGAGCATGTACAGCACTCAGTATTTAGTTGGGCCTCCTTTGGCCTGTATTACTGCAGCAATGCGGCGTGGCATGGAGTCGATCAGTCTGTGGCACTGCTCAGGTGTTATGATAGCCCAGGTTGCTCTAATAGTGGCTTTTAGCTCTTCTGAATTGTTGGGTCTGGTGTATTGCATCTTCTTCTTCACAATACCCCATAGATTTTCTATGGGGTTAAGGTCAGGAGAGTTTGCTGGCCAATTAAGAACAGGGATACCATGGTCCTTCAACCAGGTACTGGTAGCTTTGGCACTGTGTGCAGGTGCCAAGTCCTGTTGGAAAATGAAATCTGTATCTCCAAAAAGTTGGTCAGCTGCAGGAAGCATGAAGTGCTCTAAAACTTCCTGGTATGTGGCTGCGTTGACCCTGGACCTCAGAAAACACAATGGACCAACACCAGCAGATGACATGGCACCCCAAACCATCACTGACTGTGGAAACTTTACACTGGACTTCAAGCAACGTGGATGAAGTGCCTCTCTTCTTTTCCTCCAGACTCTGGGACCTTGATTTCCAAAGGAAATGCAAAATTTACTTTCATCAGAGAACATGACTTTGGACCACTCACCAGCAGTCCAGTCCTGTTTCTCTTTAGCCCAGGCAAGACGCTTCTGACGCTGTCTGTGGTTCAAGAGTGGCTTGACACAAGGAATGCGACAGCAGAAACCCATGTCTTTCATACGTCTGTGTGTGGTGGTTCTTGAAGCACTCACTCCAGCTGCAGTCCACTCTTTGTGAATCTCCCCCATATTTTTGAAGGGGTTTTGTTTCACAATCCTCTCCAGGGTGCGGTTATCTCTCTTGCTTGTACACTTTTTTCGACCACATCTTTTCCTTCCCTTCGCCTCTCTATTAATGTGCTTGGACACTGAGCTCTGTGAACAGCCAGCCTCTTTAGCGATGACCTTTTGTGTCTTGCCCTCCTTGTGCAAGGTGTCGATGGTCGTCTTTTGGACAACTGTCAAGTCAGCAGTCTTCCCCATGATTGTGTAGCCTATAGAACTAGACTGAAAGACCATTTAAAGGCTTTTGCAGGTGGTTTGAGTTAATTAGCTGATTAGAGTGTGGCACCAGGGGC